AGGGGGCAGGTAGTTGATGATGGAGATCATTCCCAATAACCAATTTTCTCACATATGATTTTTTACTCATTGTGACAAAGGAGCTAGTAAGCAAAAGTGATTCTTCAGACTAAATCCAATCTGAATGGTCACAAATAAGAAATTAGATGAAATTACACAGTATTAGGGCCAGAGAGTAAATATTTCTTGGCTTTGCAAGCCATATAGTCTCTATGACAACTACCCAACTCTATCACTGTAGAATGAAAGCAGCGATAGACAATGCATAAACAAATGGGTATAACTGCATCATCATAAAACTTTCTTTACTGTTGAGGGCATTTGGCCCACAGGTCTCAAGTTTGCTGACCCTTGTTCTCTAGGTTGAGAATACTACACAAGAAACGAAGCAGTAGAAAGAAGCATGAGGAGAAATGGAATAAGGAAGCAGAAGAGAAGCCACAAAACTAAAGTATAGCTGAGTTGGGGTATTAAATCAAAGAGCAAACTATGAATAAAGGAGCAACAGGAAGAGCAGGCGGAGAATGCAAGAGAAAATCAGACGCGCAAGGGACACTGGAGAGAGAGAGAGCCAAGTAAAAGCAAGCAGAGATGATACACGATTTTCAAGGCAGACAGATGCAGAGACAAAGGCAGCTGAATGCCCTAAAAAACAGAGGGCAAAATAAAGAGGGGAAAATGAGAGCATCCCAGATCTGTCTGCACTGGAATTCAAATAAAGAATAAAACACATTAATTTTCTAGTGATAATCTGATGGTCTCCTCTAATAAGGTGTGGGCAAAAAAGGAATCCACAGCTTACAAAATGTAAAGCTACTTTTCATTCGCCCATAAATCAAAGTGGTACATGTATAATATTCAAGAGACCAAATGAAGGGGCTGGCCCCGTGGTGTGGTGGTGAAGTTTGGCACGCTCTGCTTCAGCGGCCCAGGTTCATGGGTTCAGATCCCAGGTGTGGACCTACACCACTCGTCAGCCATGCTGTGGTGGCGACCCACGTATAGAGTGGAGGAATACTGGCACAGATGTTAGCTCAGGGACAATCTTCCTCAAGCAAAAAAATAGGAAGATTGGCGACAGATGTTAGCTCAGGGCTAATCTTCCTCAGCAAAAATAAATTAATTAATTAAAAAAGAGATCAAATGTAAGTTATTCACTGTATCATAAGAAGATATCAATTATTTCTAGGCCCTATTCATTTGCATGTGTATGACCATGACTATTTTTTAAATTTATTGAAATCAGTGAAGTTAGCATTAAGAACTTAAAAGCCACATTTACCTTACTAACTTTAAAAAGTTTCCTCCCAAATAAAACCAAAGATTAAAAAAAGAAAAGAATCTTGAACGATGTAATAATCTGCATATTTATACTGCGTGAGAATTTTGTTTTTTATTTTTAGCTTTCTTTGTGGGGAAGTCCTTTAAGGTAAATGCAGATTTATTCTGACACAGCTCAGCTAAACAACAAATTAGACCATATACTTGACATCACTACAGTACAATGTTTAAGAACATGACTTGGCATTAGAGAGCACTGGGTTTGTGTCCTCACTTTACCAAGTCACTTAACCATGTCTCTGTTTCCTCACTTACAACATGTGGATAAGAACATATCCACTTGAGAAAGAAGCTGGGATGATTAAATGAAGAAAATACATGTAAAACACTTAGCACAGAGTCTGAAACAGAATATGTTTTCAAATTTTAGTTAATATTATCAACCTTAAGACTTTGACAGTGCTATTACAGAAGAGCATTATAAGATAAAAGTTCAGAAAGAGAACAAATTTCCCTCGTCTTTTAGGAGGCTACAATGTAATATTAGTATTTTCATTCTTATCATTCATTCACTCCTGTTAATCCTTAAAAAAAACCTGAATCCGTCTGCCCATTTAAAACGCAGAAGAGTAGTATCAAACTGATACCAGTGGAGATTATTCAAGATAATCTCCAATTCTGAGACAGAAAGGGCACTGTGAGGCAAAGAAAGTACAAATCCTCAAGACCCACAGAACAGAGCCATTCCCAGGATCTTATCACATGAAACCCATGGCTCACATTCCTGACCACACCGCAGAATCACATACCCAGAGCCTCACCCAGGCTAATTATAATTAAATCATAATCTCTAGAAGTGAGAACTAGAGATTTTTTAAAACTCCACGAGTCACTAAAATGTGAACCCAGCATTAAGAATCACTGGTTAGGGCCGGCCCTGTGGCTTGGTGGTTAAGTGCGCGCGCTGCGATGCTGGCGGCCCGGGTTCGGATCCCGGGTGCGCATCGAGGCACCACTTCTCTGTCCATCCTGAGGCCGAGTCCCACATACAGCAACTAGAAGGGTGTGCAGCTATGACATACAACTATGTACTGGGGCTTTGGGGGCAAAAAATAAAATAAATAAAATCTTTAAAAAAAAAAAAAAGATTTCCCTTAAAAAAAAAAAAAAAAAAAAAGAATCACTGGTTAAACTCTACCTTCCTTTATTCAAGGGGACTAGAAATCTGAGTAAGTCTTTAATACAAAATAATATAAATCGAAAAGCAGTACTAAATGCCTTAATTTTTGGAATCAATGAACCATGCCAATTAACTACTCTAAAAAAGTTTTCTCTATACTAATAGTATCTCCAAAATAATACTTTTATAGAGGGCAACTTCTGCCGGGATAGTGTTAAGAATCTGGCTTAAGAGACCTGAAATCCTAAACACATGAATTAATACTATTTTCAGGATACCACGCACTGAACACAATTGTTTCACTAAATCACTACAGTCTTTAAATAAAACACCTGAAATTACTCCTCTATTGGGTGTCCTCATCAAGAAAACTATATTTTTACCCATATAGCAAAATACATCCATCCCCTCATGAGTGTACTGAACATTGTCAAAGCTGTTACTCTGATCTATATTGTCTTTTTTTGTTTTTAAATGAGGAGCCACACTTGGAGAGTACATCTTTTTTTTTTTAATTTTTTTAATTTATTTTTTCCCCCAAAGTCTCAGCAGATAGCTGCACATCATAGTTGCACAGCCCTCCTGTTGCTGTATGTGGGATGCGGCCCCAGCATGGCCGGAGAAGCGGTGTGTCGGTGCGCGCCCGGGGTTCCAAACCCGGGCCGCCAGCAGCGGAGCGCGCACCCAACCGCTAAGCCACAGGACCGGCCCTGATCTATATTGTCTTCATTTTCTACAATGAACACAAATTACCTGAGAAATAAAGACATAATAAAATAAAAAACAAGATAAAATAATAAAAACTTAAAGACATTAATTTTGAAGAGGATCAAAGGATGGGATACCATAAATATCTCCAAGTAATATTTACCTTTCCAAATTTGGGAAATGCTAATTCACTTTAAGAACAAAAAACAAAGCGTATTGTGAATGACTGTTAGCTAAATGGCCTGGTACCCAATAGAATAGGAAACATTTTGTTGTTATTGTGGCCCATACTTTTTCTAGAGTGCTATGTTCTAAAGTCAACTAAAATTTTATTTTCCCTTTGGCTTATGATCCAAAGTCAATTTTTAAATTTAAAATACTGAAATACTTCAACAGTATAAGTATAAATATAAATAATTTTGTGCTCCTAGGCATAGATAAGATCAACTCCAAAAGCAGCAACTAAACAAAGACTTGTTTCCTTGTACAGGCCACTGAAGGACTCTCAGACAAAGAGGTGTGAATCAACCACACAGACGTGTGAGAAGATACAAGAACAGAACACAGTGCTTTCATCAACACTGCAAAGTAGTTACAGAGTACCTAGCACTGCTGGCTTTTCAAAAAGCATGCAAAGTATAGGTAAGAAGCTCGTTAAGATGTCCAAGAGAAAGGCTTTAACTTCCTGGCGGCTTACAATTTTTAAATAAGTGTAGAAAAATCAGTGCAACAACAAAAACAGCTATTGGTATAGACTGAATCAGAAAATCAAAAATTGTGATGAGTTACAATTTGCAACAGAATCAACTAGAGATTTGACCCCAAAAAAAAATCCATTTAAGAATTTTAGAACCAAGTTCAAAATTGCCCAGAACCTTTCAATGTGTTAGTGAACTCAGCACTGCAGAGTATGCTCTCCAAATGATTAACAGCAATGCTCATATTTTCCTCCTCAATGGACACTTGAAACAGATTACATTTTAATGTAACTACATCACCACTTTTATATTCTCAAAACATAATCCCATACTCTGCATGTTTTTGTAAATATCCATGTTCTACTTCTTCACCCTTTTTCATCTTCATTAGACAACTGTTTTCTATCCACAGCTCTCTGCCTTTCTCCCTTAGCCCTGTGCTTTGATTTCTTTCCAGATTTAAAACTAAAGCATTTATAGAACCATAATAATGAAACTATCTATAAGCATTATTTATGAGCATTATAAAACTAAAAATTGATAAAGTAAACCCTTGTAGGCCAAACAGGACAGGAAATTTTCAGCTGAGTATATTCAGTAGCGTTCTTGAACATGAAACTATAGAAAATCCTTTACAAACTTATTTTTTTATTGAGGTCATATTGGTTTTTAACACTGTGTAATTTCAGATGTACATTATTATATATCAGTTTCTGTATAGACTGCATAGTGCTCACCACCAACAGTCTAGTTTTTGTCTATCACCATACATATGTGTCCCTTTACCCTTTCACCCACTCTCTACCCTCTTTCCCCCTGGTAACCACTAATCTGTTCTCTTTATCCATGTTTGTTTACTTTCCACATATGAGTGAAATCATACAGTGTACAAACTATTTTTTAATAGAACACAGACTCTCACTATTTATCCTACTAAAACTACCACAGAAACTTCTTCTAACATTTTAAATATTTTCCAACAAAAACGTATCAAAGTTCCCATTTGTCTTAATCAGGTTATTTTAAAAAGCCCATATTTCTTTAAAAAGAAAAGTCTGTATGATCAAAGTAGAGAGCCTTTGTTTGAATAAATCTTATAAACCATGAAGCATACTTAGCAAATCAAAACTCACCTCTTCTTGCATAACTGGAGTCCATATCTTTAAATTGTACCACAACAAAGTCTGAACACTTGAACAAAATACTCTCCATTATTTCTTCACGTTTTGGCCCTGAACTGGATTCTGTACTTTTCTCATGTGCAGCATCAAGCACTAAATCACACTAAAATGAAAAACATGAGTAAATATTCAAAATATTTACAAAATAAAATTTGTCAGGAATTCTTCAGCACATCAAGGTAGTATTTCTTGTATGTCTGGCAAAAATAATCTCAAAAACTGATCTATTTTCCAGTCCATCATTCAAAAATCCTCTATATCTAAATGTTGGTCCTTGCTACCACGGTCTGTCTTAAGCATATTAATAGTGATAAAGAGAAAAACAACAAACCACCCAATCCCTCTGCTAGTCCACAGTGCTTGAAAAGGCCAAAATATTTTAATAAGCACATAGAGCAAGTCTTTTTGATTATACAAACCAGTCTATAAAACTGAGGAGTGAAATCATTCAATGTGGTTTTAAAAAGTGCTTTAAAGGTAAAGCACTGAGCAAGAAAATGTGACAAACATACCCACCTCATAAGTATAAATTGCTATGTCAGAAACTAATAGACACTGCCAAGCAGCCATACAAACATACAGTAGTTGATGAGTGATGAGGTTTTACATTTAACAAAAAGGAAAAGAGTAAAAATTACCTTAGGACTGTATGTTTTAAAAACTCCTTCATATATACCTCCGTTTTTCACTTGTACTTCACATTTGGATCCCTAAAAACATACAATTAATTCATCAAAGAAACAGTGGGCTACCCAGACATGGGGGATAATTGTTTTAATTTTACTTTTTACAGCTCATCAGGCCTCATTCAACATATTAGGTATTCACCAACAGAACAACAAAAAATTTTAAAACATGAACAATACACTGAATTTTCAAAATTCTTCAGGAGGCCCTGCTCAGAGTTTGCAGTATGAACTTAAATACTGGAAATAAGTATTTCTGACTGTAGTTTTATAGGTGACCAAATAATGCACTAAAGACAATCAACTACTACTATTATTTTGTACACAGCAGGGTTAACAAGAATGCTTTTTTAGTGAGTTACAATAGCTTGGGATAGAGTTCTAATCTGTTTTTTCTAAATCATCCTGATAAAACATGACCTAAGAAATGTTACTTTGAGAATCATTCATCCACATTTTAACTTTATGAAATTACTTAATTCCACTCCCAAGGCAGTTTCTACCCAATAAACTGAAAACTTACAACAACTGATGTAAGTATATGAACCATCCTCATATTTGCATAGATTCCATCAAAAGAAATCTGGAATATTAAGAAAAAACATTAACAGTAATCAATATTTATCCTTGTATATATATTAAAGTTAATATTTATTGTTACAAAATGTTTAGTTAGGTTTATAATATCTTACAGGTTAAAGGAAGATTTGGTTTACTACAATCTTTTGCTTCCTTAGAGAATAAAAGCTTAAGTTTTCAAAAGTGAAATCAGTCCTATCAACTAACAATGTTTTGACTATACATGATAAAAAAAGTAAAAGTGAACTTGCACATATGGGGAAAGACAAAACCATAGGAACAGAAGACAGGTCAATGGTTGGGGAGTAAGGGAGGAGAGCTCACCACACTGTGGTATGAGAGATTTTTGGAGGTGATGTAACTGTTCTATTATCTTGACTGTGATGGTGGTTACACAATTCTGTGTGTCAAAACTCACAAACCTGTACACTAAATAGGGTTAAGTGTATCTTAATAAATAAATGGGGTGAAGTGCAGGGCACCTTTGAAGCAGACCCTTGACTATCTTCTCTCAGCATATCTGAATCAATAACAGTGCTCTAAGGTCTAATCAACCACACCACTCCTTACTACATACTACACAAGCGTGGTGCCCTCCTGATTCTAAAGAAGAAAATCTGTCCAATAAAGGCAAAGTCTCAAAAATTAGTGGCAGCTTGTGATAGCTTCTCATCTATTTCTTCTATCATGTGGAACTTATACCGTCTGCCCTTTATGCACAGTTTAATTTCATTGATAAAGTTCTGAAATTAAAAACCAGAAAGCCCTTTCCAAGTGAGAAAAATGAAAAGAATAAAAGATAGCACATTAATCCAAAATAAAAAACCCAAAGATCTCTGCAAACTCCAGTCCTGGTGTTCCAATTATCTTTTGGGGGTTACTCATTTAGATCTGCCTTTAGTCATTTACAAAAGAACAAACGACTTACTATTATTTTGCATGAAAAATACTATTTACAGGTAATTATACATTTTATACAGCGTCATCATAAAAAAAAAAAACACATATAGCTAATAATTTTACACCAAACAGTATTGATCTATAAAGGTTACCTGAGATATAAAATTCAAGAGAAGGGAATTTTTTTTTTTTGCCTTGGCTTTTTTGGTCCATGGTTTAGAATCACATTTTAGTTACCAATTTTTCCAAACAAATAACATTGAAGTTACTCACCGTAGACTGAGGCAGGCCTTTGCTACTGTTTCGACCTCTGAAAAGATTAAATATTATGTTTATTAAATTCAACACACTAAACAAGCTAAAAAATATTTTCAAATTTAAAATATCTTATAATTCCATTCAAATAAAACACAAGCTATCTGTGAGGAGGACTCATCTAACAGTAAGTATAAAGGCTATGTAAGTATGGCTCTCTCTGTGCTTTGCTGGCTCAGAGACCCAGAACATGTATGGGTCAAGGGATGGAGGGAGGAAAGAAGATGAATGTGATCAAAATCAAATAAATGAAGTAAAAATAAAAATAGCCTACTGGAAGAAATAACCAATACTAAATATAATAATTTTTACTCCAAAAGTAACCAATCACTCTGTTATAAAAAGCTACTCGGGAACAAAATATAGAATCTATTCCTCATTTAAGTGACATATTTGACTGATATCAAGTCACCTCCCATATTTTCCCTTGCCTCTAAAAACAGGTACTGTGCTTATAATTGCAGAAAAACATTTGAAAATAAGTTAAATCACTCAAAGCACTTTCACTCCTAAATACTAACTGCCTCTATCAGGATCTATATAACGAGTGCCTTTCCCTGCCAATCCCCTTCCCTCTGAAACAATGCAGTACACCAAAGTCGGCTGTCAAGTAATTTCTAGTAACATGGGCTCTACTTTCAAGTGAATTTAATTACAGAGCATAATACACCCTAAGGCTTGCTCCATAGGAAAAGATTAGGCCTCTTATGAAATGATGAATAAAGTCAAATGTTATATTCCTCACAAACATTAGTTACTGTGGAATAACAGGAGTGGAATCTCACTTTAATAAAATAATTACAACACTCAAATTAAGCCACAAACGTAAAACAGTCAAAGAGAAGCACAATTCAGGTCCAGAAAGTCTAGCAGTATGAACGGTGCCAACTCCCAGAAAAGTAGCACTGATCTTAGCACTCCAGGGCCAAGGCTGGTTTGGTCTCCAACCCTGTCACCTTCCCTCATCTAGAAATTAATGTCTTGGACCAAATCACCTATGAGATTCCTTCCATTTATAACATTCTGATTCTGTAACTCTTTGCCTCACACACAGCAGAGAAATTCCTGAAATCTAAGGAATATGACCAATAATTTATCACTTATAGAACTTACTATAAATGAGACACTACGATAAGCACTATGTCAAACCTCTCACCCCTACTTTACAGGCCAGGAAACTGAACCTTAGCAGTTAATAAGATCTTGACCAAAATCGTCCAGTTTACGAGCAGCGGAGCTGGTATTTGAACCAGGTGATCCAAGGTCCAGGCTTTTCATCTCTCGGTTATGCTGCCTCTCTGAAATCGCATCACAAGGAATAAACTAACTTTGCAATTAAGCCTAACCGAACTTCTACATTTTTTTTCAAACATCATTTGAATTTACTGGGTTTTTCTATTTATTTGTAATCTGTAGCCAAAGGCTATAAAATGGCTAAATTTTGCTCTGAAGCATTATCTTATCCTAGTGATTGCTGAGATGCCACAGTTAAAAGACTTAAACAAATGCGACCAATTAAGTGCCCTTAAACTCATGTGGCATCCCCACAAAGCCATTTAAGAGTTTAAAACATAAAACTCCTTTACAGAGGTCACACTTGTTAAAATTGATTATACAGTTATATCCTTGACCAATAAAGAGCAATTGTTTTGACAATCCAGTTTACTTAGAACAAATCGTTCAACAGAGAAAATTAAGACTCACAGTGGGTACAGAGGGTAGAAACCACTGATTTCCACCAATGTACCAGGTGGCTGGACACCCAGGGGAATGTTAGCATATCATAGCAGCATTCTCTGAAACTGATAAAACCCCAAATTCATTCTCGTTTTTTTCTTTTTGGATTCACTCAGATTACGCTTTACTTTTAAATTTTTTTCTTTAGTATTTTAGGACAAAGCATCCTAATATTTCATATAGTTACAAAAATTGAATCTCAAAAAAAGCCAAGATCATATTCTAGTCCTAAACATGATTAGATGGATCAGCTTTAACAAAACAACAACATCCAGCATTCTCAGCCTTCAATAGTTATTGACTATGAGAGTCAAGTGTAATTCAAAATGCCAGTCAAATTAATATAAAGAAACTTACAAAAAAATAATAAAGAGTTTATATTGCTTCAAAATAATACAGGAGGGAGGAAAGAGATGGGTTACAAATGAAACAAGATTGGCATGAGCTGACAACTGCTGAAGCGTAGGGGATAGGTGTACAGGGGCTCATTATACCATTCAACCTGCTCTTTACAATTTCACTAAGTCAAAAAGAAAACAAGTGCCTTCTGATGTGATGCAATTGGAGCCTGGATTTAACCAAGTTTACAGACCTACCAGTTTACAAGAAACATGGGGTAGAAGAATATATAAACTGATACCATGAGGTTACAAATCAGATAAATCCAAAATGTGGTAAATTCAACATAATAAATGACAATTTCTTCAACAAATAAACAGCGTGAGAAGAAAAACACAGCATGAGGGAGGGAAAATTATTATAAATTTAAAGACACACATAAATCCAAGCAAAGTGTGACTTCCCAATATCAAAATTTACTATAAAGCTATAATCAAAATAGTGTGGTACTGGCATAAGGACAGATATAAACACCAATGGAATAGAATAGAGAGCCTAGAAATAAACCCTCACATATATGAGCAACTGATTTTTAACAAGGAGGTCAAGACTATTCAATGGGGAAAGGACACTGTTCAACAAATGGTTCTGGAAAAACTGGATATCCACACGCAAAATAATTAAGCTAAACCCTTACCTTACACCATATACAAAAATTAACCTAAAATGGGTCAAAGACCTAAATTTAAGAGCTAAAACTATAAAACTCTTAGAAGAAAACACAGGGGAAAATCTTCATGACATTGAATTTGGCTTTGATTTCCTGACTATGACACCAAAAGTACAGGCAACAATAAGAAAAAAACAGAGATAAAAAGGACTTGATCAAAATCAAAACCTTTCGTGCAAAGGACACTATCAGAGAGTGAAGACAACTCACAGAATGGGAGATAATACTTGCATATCATGTATCTGATAAGGGGTTATTATCCAGAATACATAAAGAACTCCTATAACTCAACAACGAAAAAATATACAACTCAATTCAAAATGGGCAAAAGACTTGAATAGACATTTCTCCAAATAAATTATACAGTTGGCCAATTAGCAGATGAAGAGATGCTCAAGATCACTAGTCGTTCGGAGAACGCAAATCAAAACCACAATGAGTTGGGGCCGGCCCCGTGGCTTAGCAGTTAAGTGCGCGCACTCCGCTACTGGCGGCCCGGGCTCAGATCCCTGGCGCACACTGACGCACCGCTTCTCCAGCCATGCTGAGGCCGCATCCCACCTACAGCAACTAGAAGGATGTGCAACTATGACATACAACTATCTACTGGGGCTTCGGGGAACAAAAGGAGGAGGACTGGCAATAGATGTTAGCTCAGGGCTGGTCTTCCTCAGCAAAAAGAGGAGGGTTAGCATGGATGTTAGCTCAGGGCTGATCTTTCTCACAAAAAAAAACAACAAAAAAAACCACAATGAGTTACCACTTCACCCCACTATGATAGCTATTATCAAAAAAACAAAGTAACAAGTGCTGGCAAAAATGTGGAGAAACTGGAACCCTTGTGCACTGCTTGTGGGATTGTAAAATAGTGCACTTGTTATGGAAAACAGTATGGTAGCTCCTCAAAAAATTAAACATAGATTACTACATGCTCCAGCAATTTCACTTCTAAATATATACTCAAAATAATTGAAAGCAGGGATTTGAAAAGATATTTGTACACCAATGTTCATAGCAGCATTATTTACAATAGCCAAAAAGTGGAAAAAAAACAAATATCCATTGACAAATGAATAGATAAACACAATGTGGTACATCCATACAATGGAATATTATTTGGCCTTAAAAACGAAAGAAGCGGGGCTGGCCCTGTGGCTCAGTGGTTAAGTGTGCGTGCTCCGCTACTGGCGGCCTGGCTTTGGATCCCGGGCGTGCAACAACCCACCACTTGTCGGGCCATGCGGAGGCGGCGTCCCACATACAGCAACTAGCAGGATGTGCAACTATAACATAAAACTATCTACTGTGGCTTTGGGGAAAAAAGGGAGGAAAAAAAAGGAGGACTGGCAATAGATGTTAGCTCAGGGCAGGTCTTCCTCAGGAGAAAAAACAACAAAAGAAGTTCTGACACATGCTACAACATGGATGAACCTTGAAGATACACTAAGTTAAATAAGCCATACACAAAAGGACAACTATTGTCTGATTCTACTCATATAAAGTATGTAGTATAGTTAAATTCATAGACACAGAAAGTACAACGGTGGATGCCAGGGGTTGGGGGATGGTTGAAATAGGGAGCAACTGCCTAATGTGTACAGGGCTTCCTTTTAGGGTAAAAATGTCTTAGAACTTAACAGTGGTGGTGGTAGTACAATAATGTGAATGTACTTAATGCCACTGAACTGTACACTTAAAAATGGTTAAAACGGTAACTTGTATGCTATATATATTTTACCACAACTAAAAAAAAACAACAGATAAGCTCAGATTCTCTTCCCAAAGGAACGTCATTTGCGACAGCCTGTAGAGAAGTTGATGCCTAAGGTGCTCTCAAAAACAGTGGAAATTGTGGTCAAAGGCAACTGGTAGGAGACTGATAGATTCACTAGAGATACAGGGTTAACTGAATAAAAAAGAAGATCTAACCACATACGGTCTGTAAGAGAGACACTTTAGATTCAAAGGAAAAACAGACTGAAAGTAAAAAAATGGGAAAAGATATACCATACAAACAGAACAGACAAGAAAGCCGGAGAGGCTGTACTAATATGAGACAAATAGATTTTAAAACAAAAAAAATGTTACTAGAGGTAAAAAGGGACATTTTATAATAAAAGGCTCAACCCATCAGGAAGAAGAAAGAGGCATTCCACCAGGTCTCTCTGTGCCCTTTAGCATAGCTCCTGAGCTACTGAAGTTGAACTCTTCACAGCAAGT